CTATGGACTTCCAAATAAAATTTCGATCACGCTCCTAAGTCCAAAATCACCATACGAAGCTGTTGGAATCATCAAAATTCTATTCCGAGGTCGTTTTCTAAAAATGTTGACCGAAGTCAAACTTAGCACTTTAAGGACAACTTAAGGAACCAAATGTTCCGGTTTCACCCCAAACACTTTCAAATCCCGAACCAACCATCCCCGCAAGTCATAAATCATTACAAACACCTACAGGAAGTTTTATTTTAGGGAACGGGGTTCTAAAAGTTAAAATGACCGATTGGGTAATTACAACAGTAACACCAAAATAACTCCTAACAACACATCCACAATCCAACAAAACACCACAATCTATATATCAATAACACTAATCTCATCATTACAAGCATTGTATTATCACAATGATATCAGGACATGAAGCACATCATATGTATGCTCATCACCACATCTTTGGTCTTAAAAGTTGTTCATAATTAATTCCAGCATCATCAATTAATCTCATATTAACCACCACCTCATTTCGAATTTCATAACACTGACAACAGAATGTGAGGCATGAAGACCTCATGATTACTTACTCGGATCAATGAGTCACCTTTAACGCCACATGGGCACTCATCTCATAGGTTAAAACTCAATGTTTATAGCACGAAAATGGCTGAATATGCACAGAAAATGTACAAGAACTATCAAATAAGCCTAACAGGCATGACTCCCTATTAATACTATTGTACAAATAAATTTCACAAAGGGAGAATTTTAAACTCATAAATATTTCACCACAAGGACCTCGTCCTTATATAACTTCCATCGTGGCTTGTAGCCCGGTTTAAATATTTCACATCATATATAAAAAAAAAATGCGATGATCTCGTCCTCAACTCCGAATCACAAGTATTTTGCACATTGTGCCAACTAAAATTTCAATTTCCTTTCTTTCTTCTTTTCAATATATTTCATAAATAGTTTTCACAACACATAATGAACCCTCATATCGGTAGGGCCTATCATTCATAAAAATTGGAATCAATTATTCCGAAACACATTAAACCCACTGTAATGAATAATAAAAATTATTTTTTGGACTTATAGCCCTCAATAGTGTACAAAAATAAAATGACAGACACGGGCTCACATCTTCAAATCTCCCAACAGGGATAAGCATATAAGTGGGTCACAAGAATTACGAAACTCACCCATAAGTGGAGCATAATAGGAGGATTCACCTCAATATTCAGATCCGAATCGAACTAAGGGAAAATATTCTTTTATAACAAAATCAGGATCGTACCTGTAACGACACCATGTGTATTGGTCTCAGCCAAATCATAGTTATTATATCAACAGGTCGGGCCTCCACCTCTTAGGCGCCTACTACCTACCTGTCCTCCACCTCTAACTGACTGTGCACGTGGAGTATTAACTAGAATAAAGCTTGTAGCTTGAGTGCTCTGATGAAATCCACCCCCTCCCAAGTCTAGGACAATCTCTCATGATGTGCCTAGTATCACCACACTCATAACAACCCCTCTGAGGTCGCAACTGCTCGTACTGAGTCTGTGCCGGATAACTGGAATAACCACTGTAAGAATCTCGTGTCGGTGGTGCGTGTTAAGAACTTACTAGAGCACTTTGAGTAATCTAATGTGCGGACTGAGCTAGCCGACTGCTCGAGCCTCCGCTATAATGGGTCCTAGCTGAAGAGTAAAATCCACTAAACCCTCCAGATCTTCAAGACCTTTTGGCCTCCTTAGACTCCCTCTCCTCGTCTAAAACACCCTCAATCTTTCTCGCAATCTCCACTACTTGTTGAAATAGAGTATCAGTTTGCAATTCTCGAGCCATGCATATTTTAATATCAAAATCGAGGCCCTCAATGAATCTACAGACCCATTTTCTGACTGTACGAACCAAGATAGGTGCATGACGGGCTAACTCACTGAACCTGATAGCATATTTTGACACTGTCATAGTGCCCTGATGCAATTGTTCAAACTCTGTGCGCCACGCATCTCAGAGAGTTTGGGGAACAAACTCTTTCAAGAATATTTCCGAAAATTAAGCCCAAGTTGGTGGTGTTGCATCGGCTGCTCTACCTTCTTCATAGATTTGCCACCACCGATACGCTGCGCCTGACAGTTGAAATGTAGTAAAGGCAACTCTGCTCACTTCCACAATACCCATGGTGCGGAGAATACAGTAACAATTTTCTAGAAATCCTTGGGCATCCTCTGTAGCTGTGACACTGAAAGTAGGTGGAATATACCTCTTAAACCTTTCAAGTCTCTTTTGTTCTTCTTCTGATGCCTCTGGCCTGACCTCAGGCCGAACCGGAATAACATGTTGTACCAGTATTGCACCTGAAACCTTATCAACGTGAACCTGCTGCTCTGGAATTGTGGTAGGAGTCGGAGCTACTCCCCCAATTTGCGAAATATTTGGTGCAACAGAGGTCAATCCCGCCAAGGTCAATGTACCAAACATATTCAGGAACAGTGCTAAAAGTCTCCTAAAGTCCGGGAGTAACAACAGGTGCTTCTAGTACCTATCCCCCAACTGGAGCTACTGGCGGCTCCTCAACTGTTGTTCTGATAGGTGCTCTAGTCGCGGCACGTGCCCTTCCTCGACCTCTACCTCGGCCCCGGCCTCTTGCAGCCCTAGCAGTATGTGCGGATGACTGCTCAGATAACCCGGTAGCACGTGTTCTCACCATCTGTGAGAGAATAGAGATACAAAGGCTCAAATTCTACAATCAACAAATCCGTACGACAGGAATGAAAGAAGTGGAAATTTCCTAACAGTTCTGTAGCCTCTCTAAGATAAGTACAGACGTCTCTGTACCGATCCGCAAGACTCTACTAGACTCATTCGTGACTCGTAGAACCTATGAACCTAAAACTATGATACCAACTTGTCAAGACCCAAAATCCTACCACAGACGTCGTGATGGCACCTAGTCTCTAAGACTAGGTAAGCCGATTATAATTACATTTCAAGCCACTCTTTTTTTTAAATTAAATAAGTAATCAAAACTAACAGCGGAACAAATATGAATATAACAACCTCCCAAGACTGGTAGTACTGAGTCACGAACTCTAACTGAATACATGGGATGATCACGAGGACTGAATATACAATACTGTTCGATTATTAACAGTACAATGAAATAAAAGACTCCAAGGGACTGCGACGACCAAGCAACTCTACCTTGAATTCTTATGATCCCTCTTAAACTCTGCCCAAGTCCGATATCTCCAATACCTGACTCTGCACAAAAATGTGTAGAAGTGTAGTATGAGTACACCACGGTCGGTACCCAGTAAGTATAAAGACTAGCCTCAATGGAGTAGAGACAAGGTACAGTCAAGATACTCACTAGTCTAATAACCTGTGCAATATGATATACAAAATAATAGGAAACAAATAACAATAAGGGCAACATAAAACAACCAGTTATATGCACAGTAAGACAATAAAATCACCATTAATATTGCTCAACAATTGATAAATACAATTACACCATTTAAATCAAGTTCTTTAATTAAATATCTTTCACATATAATTCTTACGAATAAAACTCTTTTTCAAATATAATTTCCTCAAATAAACATCTTTCGAATATAAAATTCTTTCACTAAATCTCTTCAAATATAATTCTTTCATATAATTCTTTTTGAATAAAAATCCTTCCAAATAAATATTTTGAATATAATTCTTTCAATTAAAAAGTCACCATGTGACACCTCATTTCATAATCATAAAAATACGGGTCTCAGCCCATTTTCATATTTTTCGTAAATACGGGTCTCAGCCTCTTTTCATATTTTCACGACACTTCGTGCCCATAAATAAATCATCATATTTTTCCGGCACCTCGTGCCCACTTTTCATATCACAACTGCATGGACAGTTCACGTGCCAATATTATTATCATCATTGTATATAAGATCTGCATGATCAATTTATTTTCAATAAAGTAAGGTAAAAATCTTTAAATCAATTAAGAAATCAACAAAAAGATAAGTTTATTTTAGAAATCGTTTGAGTGAAGAAAATGATATTTTCATTAAAATAAAGCATCAGATAAACTACTGATTTGGATATAAAATTTATTAAATTAAAACATACTAAAAAAATTCTTTCACTTAAAATAACTCAATCATCAAAACAAGTACAACCCAAAAATACAAATCCTCAAAGTCGCGTACGAAAAAGTCAAGGTCAACACAATACATCAAGAAATACAAAACACTTAATATTAAGTGAAATCATACATCACGGAGAACACAAGAATTTAGAAATTACGGAAAAACAAAATTACCAAACGCAAGTACAGCCATAGAGAAATATCAACAAAAAGGCACTCCCGAGGTACCGCCTCGTAGTCCCAAATCATTAATAAATTTACAATCTTTCATTTTCTTATATCACCGCGGGAGCCTTCACATTAAATATTTAAAGAAATTATTTTTTTTCACGAAATAGCATCCCGCGTTTTAGCCACCCTTATCACACCAGAACCCGGCATAAGTCAACGCGGGGCCCGCCCCTTGGAACCCGATATATTTTTCATAAAATTCGAACACCCATTCCGATACGAGTTCAACCATACCAATTTTATCGAATTCCATTAACAATTCGACCTCCAAAACTTAAATTTTTGTTTTTGGAAGATTTAACAAAAATCTTGATTTTCCTATATTAGAATCTGAATTAAATGATGAATTCAAAGGAATAATCATGAAAATTAATCAAAACTGGATAAGAGTCACTTGCCCCAAATACCCACGCAAGAATCTCTCCAAAAATAGCCTTCTACCGAGCTCCCAATTTGATTTTTGTGTTATGAACTCAAACCCCCGTTTTTAGGACTTTTAATTCTGCCCAGGCATTTTTCTTCTTCGCAAACGCAAAACCCCCCCTCTCGCGTTCGCGTAGCACAAATCCGTCTGCTGCCTCAAGTCTTCTTCACAAACGTGATGCTTATCTGGCCCTTAACTTCATGAACGCGTAACACAATTGCAAACGCGAAGACCAAATGCGTGGGGTCTCAACTGCCTCTTCTTCCTCTTCGCAAACGCAAGCTCCAACACGCGAATGCGATGCCCATCTTTATACACCTTCGCGAACGCGGAACCTACATCGCGAACGCAAAGGCCAAATTCCAGCATCACTCAAACTTTCTCTACGCGAATGCGAGAGGACCTACATGAACACCTAGAAGGAAAGCACTAGCAAAATCTGATGCTTCAGCTATAACACCAAGCCCGATTCTAGTCTGTTACCAATCCGGAATACACCCGAGTCCCCCGGGACCTCAACCAAATACACCAACAAGTCCTAAAACATCATACGAACTTAGTTGAATCCTCAAATCACATCAAACAATATCAAAATAATGAATCACGCCTCAAATCAAAATTTATGAATTTTGAACTTTCAAATTCTATATCTTGTGCCGAAACACATCAAATCAATCCGGAATGACTTCAAATTTTGCACTCAAGTCATAATTGACATAACGGAGGTATTCAAATTTTTAGAATCTGATTTCGACCCCGATATCAAAAAGTCAACCGCTTGGTCAAACTTCTCAAAAATTCATCTTTCGCCATTTCAGGCCAAATTCCTTTACAGACCTCCAAATAATTTTCCGGATACACTCCTGAGTCCATAATCACCATACGGAGTTATTGACATCATCAAAATTCCATTCCGGAGTCGTTTACTCAAAAGTCAACTCTCCGATCAACTATTTCCATTTAAGCTTCTAAATAAGGATTGTTCTTTTCCTTAAATTCCGAATCTTCAGTAAATCAAACTCGATCACATCTGCGGGTCATAATACATATTGCGAAACTTCTTGAGACCTTAAGTCACTGAACGGGGCAATAATTCTTAAAACAACAAGTCAGGTTGTTACAGTCATCGTTAGAGGCTCGACCTCTACGCGATCGTTCCTCCCGTCCTCCCTGTGATCGTTCTTCGCGTACTCCACAAGACCATTCTCTATACCACCTTGTAGATTAAAGTTCATCAGATGGTGATGATGATGTTGTACAAAACACCCATTGACCAATACTTTTAAATACTTTGAACTAGACTAATAGAACTAGTTTTGAATTAGATTGAATAATTTTGAACTTGTTGTAATTAGTTTTTACTTGGTTTTAGATTGAATAATTTTGAACTTGTTGTAATTAGTTTTCACTTGGTTTTAGATTGAATAATTTTGAACTTGTTGTAATTAGTTTTCACTTGGTTTTAGATTGTTATGTTTAATTGAACTTTAATTTGTTAGTTTAAAAGTATTAATTGGATGTTTGGTTGTTGTTGTCGTAGTTTTGGGTTTTTGGTTGGATTTGTGGTGATTTGGTGGTTGTTAGAGTTGAATTGGGGGGTATTGGTATGATGTTTTGATTTGGCATGTGGTGTAGCTACCAAAACCGGTATTTTAACCCAGAAAACCGACCAACCTTGGTCGGTTACTAATAAAAATAAAATTAAATTGCAGTTTACCGACCAATGTTGGTCGGTTAATGTACAATGAATTCCCAGAATTCAACATCACCGACCAACTTTGGGTGGTTTTCTACCTACCCAGTCCAGTTTATCGACCAAAGTTGATCGGTTTTTTTAAATTTTAATAATTTAAAAAAACTATTTTTCAATACCGACCAACTTTGGTCGGTACAAAAAATTAATAAATTTAATACACCGACCGATCTTGGTCGGCTAAGTTAAATTAATAAAATAATATTTCGAGCAATTTTGGTCGGTAATCCTATTAAAGTGTCAGATGGTCGTGTAGAGCATACCGACCAAGGTTGGTTGGTAATTTTCGACTAACTTTGGTCGGTATTCCTTTCCGACCTCTAAAATACCGTCCACACGTAAATGGTCGCGTTTAAGACGGTTATTGGCCATTACCGACCAAAGTTGGTCGGTTTTTTTGATCGATTTGTACCGGATTTCTAGTAGTGAAAGCCCTCTAGTACTGTCCAATGTACCCTCCTGAGTAACAATGTACATGGATGTTTCACTCCTGAAATCAACAAAATTACAAAGCTATTTTATTAGTCCAAAGAAGTCTACTGTAAACTAGTAGACTCTGACCTGAATGGCATAGCAAGCATTCGCGTAACGCGCCATGTAATCAATAGTTGAAAATTCAAACATCTCTAGCAAATTATTCATTAGTAGGCAGCAGACCTCATGGCAAAAATTTAGACTGGTTCTAGGCAAGAAAAATTGGGAGATATCTGTTTAGTGTATCCAGTTAATTACTAAGTAGTATAACATTAAGTCTGGCAACTTCTGCTACAAGATCTATTGCTGATTTTTGGAATCTAATAACAGTGATGCACTTATCTTTGACCAACTCAGTTGCACGAGTACTTCGCATTTCAGCATAATCCATGGAGTGTATAATCTTGCCATCGAACAACTCTGGCCCTTTGTTCATAGGAAAGAGAGGGATATTTGGCAGGCCACTGAACTTTCCAATGCATAAGATTACAAAATCAACTTCATAAACCTACCGATTCACCGCGCTTAGTAGAGTCTTGTTCATGGGTATGTAGGCGCCCATACTTATGATCTTGAGGCTACTAAGCATTTAGGATGTTTTCCCTTCTTTCCTTCCTTGATCGTGCGTTGAGATAACTTGAGTTTGACTTTGGATTGTTTCTTTCGCAGATGGATAGGTCACGCACACCCTTATCTGCTAGACGTGATGCTGGACGAGGTACTACCTGAGGTGGTGGAAGTTGGGGCTCATCATACTAGAGCTCAGACTAGTAGATATGCCGCTCCTCAGCCAGTAGTTGTGAATACGGGTCAACCCCAAGCTACTATGCCAGATCGAGTGCAAGAACAAGTGGTTCATGATGCTCCACCACCAGTCCCAGTTGATGTGCCTAATGTTACCTTGCCTGCAGATGCAGTGGTGAGGTTGTTGAATGTGTTAGAGGCGTTAGTGCCTACTCAGGGTGGACTTCCAGCTCCCCAGACTACTTCGCAGGCGCAAGCACATATTCAGATGAATGTTGCAGCTCCTCAGATAGCCCCTAAACAAGTCGTTCAACCAGTTGCAAACACGGGGCAGTCTAAGGATCTTAAGAATTTCATAGATCTTAAGCCACCAGAGTTTGATGCTACACAGGCTTCTATTGAGCCCCAGAAGTTCATTCAGCGTTGTGAAAAGATACTATTTACATTGGGGCTGAATAAGACTCGAGGAGTGGAGTTTACTACTTTTCAATTTTCAGGATCTGCAGAGTCATGGTGGAATTCAGTTCAGAGAGGTAGACGAGCAGGGTTGCCACCTATTACTTGGTCAGAGTTTTCAGCTATGTTTATGGATAGGTTCATTCCACTGAGCAAGCGAGACGACATGAGAAGTCAGTTTGAGCAATTGCGCCAGGGCACGATGACAGTTACAGAGTATGAGACTAAGTTCACTAACTTCACCAGTTATGCACCTTTTCTTGTTGCAGATGAGCATGAGAAGGTTCGTGGATGGGCTTGAGCATCGCTATCGTGGTCCGGTGGTTAGGCATGTTAGAGGTGGTTCATACAAAGAGTTAGTTGATACTGCTCTCCGTTATGAATCCTATCAAGAGAGGGATGGTACCGAGCGAGAAAGCAAAAAGGGCTCGTAGCACCGGCGGGTTTAGTGAAGATCCATCTGGGAGCAAGAGTGGTTTTAATCGTTGGCAGTCCAAGCCCACTCAGTCAGAGTCAGTGGTGCAGTCTTCTAGAAGTGCTTATCTAGCTAGACAGGGACAACAGCAAATACAGAGCAAGGGTAATAGCTCATATCAATCAGGTAAACATCCGAGGTGTTCGAATTGTAGTAGAAATCACAGTGGTCGTTATTTTGGAACAAATGGGGCTTGTTTTACTATGGTCAAAAAGGGCATATTGCTAAGTATTGTCCTAGAGGAAATTATACTACTATTCATGCTACTCCCCAACCGCAGAGAACTTTTACAGGTGCACAGACTCAGACTCAACCAGCTAGAGCCGCTCCGCAGGTTGCTCGTAGACAGTGTCGACAGGGTGCACAGACTGATCAGGGAGCGGGTGGACCGCCGAGATTCTTTTCTATGGCCATACAGGATGCTAAGGCATCTAATGCAGTAGTCACAGGTATTATCACTATCGATTCTTATAGGGCTTACTGTCACAACCCGCACTTTGGGGTTATGACTTCAGCCAAGAACTGGTGAGAAAAGGCTCTTTTGATTGTCTGACGTAGACTTGTCTACTCAGGTAACTTGGATTTTTTAATTTTAATCATATATAATGGGGGGTATAGGTGTTGAAAGCTGAACCTGCCTCCCCCATACGTGCTGCCACCAAGCCATATCTAATGAGCGACCTTGAGGGGAACCTCAAGGGCTTGCCTAGATAACTTAAAGGAGTGTCCTAGGTATCCAAACGAGTTAGGGAACTCTATGGATGGTGCGACGCCTTCGGGCTAGCGTTGGGCACCAAACGGGCGCTGGAGGCTTGATGTGTGGGACGGCCTGCCTCGCGGGCTGCCAAAATATTGGAAGCAGACCTCTGTGTCGATTGGATACTTGAAGCACCTATCTTAGGGGTATCATGTGTCGACTTGTGAGTATGGCTTAGGTTTAGTCATACGAGCAAGGTTCCGTTGGCCTAAACGTGCAGTTGTGGAGCGACACTGCACTATTCTAGATAGAAGTGTGTCGCGAGGGCTATGTATGGGCATGGAACGAAAGACGCGCACGACAATGGCCAAGGACTAAATGTTGCCTTACTCAGGCGAAGCACAAGCCAGTTGTGGATGCACTAGGCGAGTGTCAAGCTTGAAGATTGGGTTGTGCACGCGAGAGCGATGCTCAGTCTTAGGCGAAGGACAATACATGTCCTAAGCCAACCTCCAGGGCGCGCATGGATTATGATCCTAAGACGAGAAGCGCCACGACATATCTAGGGCAAAGTGCCTAGACATCCTACGGGCGGCACAATTGGAGCATGCCTTCCAGGCAGGCTTCACCACAGGCACAAGATCATGCTTGAAAACCTGGAAAGGAGATAGGGTGGCCTGCAGCAAGGGAAACTGCAGGCGCCACACGGGCAATTCGGTGCCGCTGGCGAGTGTAAGGAAACGGGCCTGTGACATTACACTCTTATTGATCCTGGTTATACATATCCATATATATCTCTATCTTTTTTCATATACTTAGAATGAGGAGTTGAGTCTCTTAATGTGCCATATATTGTGGTGACCCCAGTAGGGGAGACTATATTTATGGATATAGTCTATAGATACTATGTGATATTTATTCAAGGCAGGGACACCGTAGTTGATCTAGTGTTGCCTATGTCCGACTTTGATGTGATTATGGGTATGGATTGGTTAGCGTCATGTTATGCTTCAGTTGATTGTCATTCCAAGCTTATACGTTTTAATTTTCTTGGAGAACTATGTTTAGTGTGGAAAGGCATAACTTCTCTGACTCAAGGAAAAATAATATCTTATGTAAAAGCACGTTGAATGATTAATAATGGGTGTTTGGGTTTTATTGCTACCGTTCATGATACACGCTTAGAGGATGTTACTATTGATAGTGTTCCAGTGGTTCGAGAATTTGCTGATTTGTTTCCAGAAGATTTACCCGGGCTGCCTCCGATGAGAGAAATTGAGTTCAATATTAATTTTGTGCCAGGAACTTAAGCTATCTCTATTCCTCCATATCATATGGCTCCAGCGGAGTTGAGAGAATTAAAGTTTCAACTTCAAGAGCTACTTGATAAGGGATTGATCAGGCCTAGTGTGTCGCATTGGGGTACACCTATGTTATTTGTTAAAAAGAAAGATGGCATGACGAGAATGTGTATTGCTTACTGGAAGCTGAATATGGTGACGATCAAGAATAAATATATGTTGCCACGTATTGACGATCTATTTGACCAGCTACACGGTGCAACTCACTTTTCAAAAATTGACCTGAGATTGTGTTACCATCAGTTGAGCATTAAGACTGAGGATATATCCAAGACAGCGTTACGGACCAGGCACGGGCATTTTTAATTTTTGGTGATGTCCTTCGGGCTTACTAATGCCCTCGCAGCATTTATGGTCCTCATGAATAGGGTATTCAAGCCATTCTTAGATTATTTTATGATTGTATTTATTGATGATATTTTGGTCTACTCTCGAAGTGAGGCAGAACATGAACAACACCTGAAAGTTGTGCTACATACACTTAGACAACGAAAGCTTTATGCCAAGTTCTCAAAGTGTGAATTTTGGTTGGATACAATCTCCTTTTTGGGACATGTGGTGTCACGAGATGGGATTTAAGTTGATCCAAAGAAGATAGAGGCAGTTCAAGATTGGCCTCGACCCACTACTCCTACAGAGATACGTAGCTTCTTAGGCCTAGCCGGATATTACATAAGGTTTGTTGAGGGTTTCTCAAGGATAGCCACTCCATTGACATGATTGACTCAGAAAGGTGTTGCATTTTAGTGGTCAGATGAGTGTGAAGAAATTTTTCATAAATTGAAGACCACATTGACTACAGCTCCTATTTTGACACTACCTACGGGTGCAGCCAGTTTTACTATTTATTGTGATGCATCTCGAGTCGGTTTGAATTGTGTGCTGATGCAGAATGGCAAGGTGGTAGCTTATGCTTCTCAACAACTAAAGAGCCATGAAAAGAATTATCTAACTCATGACTTGGAATTGGCTGCGATCGTATTTGCACTTAAGATTTGGCATCACTATCTTTATGGTGAGCCGTGTGAAATCTATGTTGATCACAAGAGTCTGCAATATATATTCAAGCAAAGAGATCTGAATCTGAGGTAGAGACAGTGGTTAGAGTTACTTAAAGATTATGATCTTAGTATTTTATATCATCCCGGGAAGGCGAATGTGGTGGCAGACGCCTTGAGTAGAATGTCTATGGGTAGCTTGGACCGATTTACTGCTGAAGAACGACCTATGGCTATGGATATTCAGGCATTTCCCAATCGAGGAGTGCATATTGCTCATACATTACCGGGCAGGTTACTTGCGGGTTTGGTAGCACAATCATCCTTGGTTGGACAGGTCAAAGCTCACCAATTTGAAGATTCCCGTCTTGCTAGACTCCGAGATCGAGTGTAGAATGGTGGTGTTAAGTCATTTGTTGTTGATAGAGAAGGTGTGTTACGTAGACATGGTAGATTGTGTATCCCCATGGTGGGTGATGTGAAACAGTTGATTCTTGAAGAGGCTCATAGCTCCCGATACTCTATACATCCATGTGCTACTAAAATGTATCAAGACTTGCGTGAATTGTACTGGTGAAAAGGTATAAAGTACGATATTTTGAAACATGTGACTAGTTGCTTAAATTGTCAGCACGTGAAATATGAGCACCAAAAACCAGG